CCTCCCAAGCGGCGCACTGTAGCAGTGCGCCACCGGGCCGGCCCGGGTTATTTGTCTTTTTATTGTTGAGTTGTAAGAGTTCTTTACATATTTTGGATACTTATACTTATCAGTTATTTTCTCCCATTCTGTGGGTGTTGTCTTTTTACTTTCTTGATAGTGTCCTTTGAAACACAAAATTTTAAAATTTTGATGAAGTCCAATTTATTTATTCTTTGTTGTTGCTTGTGCTTTTGATGTCACATTTAAGAAATCATTGTTTAATCCAAGATCATGAAGATTTATGGCTTTGTTTTCTAGTTTAGCTTTTACATTTAGATCTTTGACTTGTTTTGAGTTAATTTTTATATATGGTGTAAGGTAACGGTCCAATTTTGTTCTTCTGCACATTGGTATTCAGTTTTTCCAGCACCATTTATTGAAAAGATTGTCCTTTCTGCAATGAACTATTTTGGCATCTTTGTTGAAAAGCAGTTGACCATAGGTGTAAACATCTGTTTATGCCTTCTCAATTCTATTCCGTTGCTCTGTATGTCTCTCCTAATGCCAGTACCACACTCAGTCTTGATGGTCATGGCTTTTTGGTGAATTTTGAAGTTTGGAAGTGTCCTCCAACTTTGTTCTTCTCTGTAAAGACTGTTTGGGTCATCTGAGTGCCCTGCATTTTCATTCAGCAGTCCAAGTTCTGTTTGCCAATTTCTGCAAAGAAGTCAGATGGGCTTTTGATAGGGATTGTTATGGAATCTGTATATCAGTTTTCCATTGTTTCCTGAATTCCACTCTTTCTAGATTTGATTTCCTTCTTATTGAATTTTATCCTTTACTAGTTCTTTGAGCAAAGGCCTATGAGAAATATACTCCCGTTGTCTGACAGTGTTTTCATTTCATCCTTATTCTTGAATGATTCTAATATTCTAAAATGGATCTAAAGTTCTAGAGTGAAAAAGTTATTTTCCGGGCCGGCCCGGTGGCACACTGCTACAGTGCGCCGCTTGGGAGTGCGGCGGCGCTCCCGCCGAGGGTTTGGATCCCACGTACAGACTGGTTCCCGCTCACTGGCTGAGTGAGGTGCGGGTGCAACACCGAGGGTTGCAATCCTGTTGCCGGTCCCGGTCCGGTACGGGCGCGACACTGAGGGTTGCGATCCGTTGCTGGTCACGAAAAAAGACAAAAAGGAAAAAAAAAAAGAATTCATAT